CCCCGCCCCGCCCGCCCCCGGCGTGGCGGAGTGGTTGTGATCCGCCCCGCCCCACTGCGGGGTCATCGTGCCGCAGATCGGGGTGGTCCTGACGTAGGCCGCCACACGCTCGCTTAGTTGTAGCGCGCTTTAGGGGTCGCTGTGAGTCGGCGTGCGCCATCCTGGACGACACCATGCCAAAACAGCGGTCCTGCCCTAGAATAGACTCGCCCAGGATCACACTAAGAGTAATGTGCTAAGGTGTCCTGGAGTAGCCACAGCTGCAGCTAGATACCGCTTTCCCACAATTGAAGGATAACGGTTTTTCAAATGCAACTTTCTTATGTCGTTTAAGGTTTAAATGCCATTAAGATGAGGCTTGATTGTCCAAGCCAAAAGGGAGGGAAAGTTGCAGCAAAATCGTTAGAATTTTCTGAGTTTAGAGTAGCATTGTCTAGGGACATCACTGCGAACGCGTTATCTCACGCTGTTAGAAACAGGTGAGCTGCCCAGCGGTCGGGGTAGCCTCACTCTGGAAATGCTATTAGTAACAGCTATGCTGCCTAGCTGTGAGGTGGCCTTACTCTTCTAGAGAAGATGTTAGTGACAGGTGAGCTACCCACCAGTCGGGGTATAGCCTCGCTCTAGAGACGCTGTTAACAACAGAGCAGTTGCCCGAGCTTCGTTCTAGATACGCTATTAGAAAACGGGTGAGCTGTTCAGCGGTTTGGGGTAGCCACGCCCAAGAGACGCCGTTAGCAAGAGGTGTGCTGCTCAACGGTCGCAGTAGCCTCGCTCTAGAGACGCTGTTAGCAGCAGGTGAGCTGGGCTGGTAGGCGTCTAGAAAGAGCCCTATCGCCTTAGTGTAGTTTTTGTTCCACTCGCGGCGCAAGGTTGTGCGAGTGAGTACTCAAAAGACGCCGGCTGTGCGGGTGAGGTATAGACTTAACGCGGAACGCGAGTACAAAGACGTTATTTGTCATGTTGTGTGAGTGCCAAAGTGTAAATATTTCCTATGATTGGCATCAGTTTTAAGTCAAGATGTTTATGTGTACATTATATTTGTTGGAAGTGTTGCTCCTCATCCAAAGAATAAAAAGAAATTTAGTCTTCCCAGGTCTATTTGATAAAAAGAAACCCGGAAAAGAAACCAACCGCTACGTGCTTGACCTGCTGTGAGTGCGCGGTCAGCCGCGGCCAGCCTGGGGGGTAGACAGCCCAACTGCCTCACTCTCCCAACTCCCTACCACTGCCCGCCTCCGACTCGCAACTTCAGACGGAAAAGCGGGGAAAAGTGTCCATGAATTACACATAGTCAACCGCAACCTACCAGTTAATTGATCAATTACTTAATAATTAATGATCTGACAACCAATCACCACCGTCCTCGAGGTGAATAGCAGAGAGACACAGAGCTGGTCAGTCCAGGAGGGCAGTCCAGCTGCCGCGGAGCAGACGGCCGGGCCGAGGGCCAGGCGGACAGCTAGGCAGATGTCCCCGCTCCGGGCCGGGTGCGTGGGGTCCCCCGCCAGGGTCCAGGTCCCAACAGGTACCAGGCAGGTACCAGTCTTGCCCCCGCGCTGCAGGTCGCAGGAGGAACTCGCCGGTCCGGACCACAACAGGTCAGTGACCCCGCACGATCCTGCATTTTTTCCCCTCTAGATTTTTTTTTGTGAAAGAAAAGCGCTTTGTAATAGTTTTCATCTGTTTCCAAACTATGAACGACACAGGTCCATACAGCACGACAAGCAGCATGTTGTTGCTCGCGCTGGTCCCGCTGGTCCTCGTCACGACCGTCGTGGGCCAACCCGCCGACCTCCAGGATGACGCCGACGTCCTCGACGTCGTGGCCGCCGCCCTGGACGACGCCAAGGGCAACCCCGTCAGCGCGTCTCGGGGTAGATATAAAGAGTCAACTACATTGTTATATGGCCCTTGGATATAAACCCTCCCGGCGGTGAACAAGGTGCCCGTCGTGTGGCAGGTGTGGAGGCGGGCCGCGCGCCCAGCAGACGGCCCTGCGAGTGCGCCGACGGCCACTGCAACTGCTGCACGGGCTTCGTCATGCAGACCCTGGTGAACCTGCCGCCGAGGCAGCGCGGCTGCATCAAGATCACCTACGACCCGGACGACTTCGCCTTCGCGATGGCGCTGTCCTTCAACGACCGCGTGCTCTACAAGAACACCATCTCGGGTGAGTTGGCGGGAAGTTCAAATTCGTTTAGAAACCACGACGTGGACAAGGGGGAGGAGGGGGGGGGGACCAAAATATTATGGGATTCAAAAATGATCAGGACCGTCATTGACATTTGAGTCCAATGAGAACTCGTGATATTTGTACCCCGGGGTGAAAATATTATGGGTTCTCCTTGAACTCCAGTGATCGCCCTGATTCTTTTCGGACTCCACCATAATATTTAGACACCTCCCCCCCTTTTCCCACTTTCCACGTGATTTCTGAGGGCCGCCCGAATGGTTACATAGCTGCGGGCTGCGGGGCGCAAAAGGACAGAAATTTGTTGTTACGATAACATCGCTATGACGTCATTGGTCAAAGTTTAGTTCCCCGTGAACGTGACTGGTCAGAAATGAGGTCATGAAAACATGTTTTATGCACTCGTGATGTCATTATTAGGATTGAAAACCCTGGAAAGTTCCCGGAAATTTTTTGAAAAATTTCCGAAATTTTCACGACCTTATTTGAATTTTCCCGCGGGTTACTCGAGTCTTTATCTCACACTTGTTGTGACCGCACACCCAGAAAACAGCATTCTTCGCTGTTTTTTTTCAATCCGCTTTTCTTAATTCAATTTTTCTTTCATAATTCGAAGAAACTGTTTCCTTTAATTCAAGAAAAAGAAAATTGACTTCAATAAACCAAGAACAGCGAACAAACAAGCCGAAATTTGCCTGGAATCAATTAATTTATTTTTCTGGGTGCAGCCAAGAATCCTCGGCCGCTGTGCGTCGCTCTGCCCAGGCTGACGGAAGCCAAGATGTGCGTGAAGCTGAGCAACGTGTACTTCGTGGGAAGGAACCTCCACGCGTGCATCGACATGGAGGGCAAGTGGCAGGACACGCAGGCTTTCCAGGTAGAACACACACCTAGGGTTGGAAACACTGGAAATTTTCCGGAAAATGAGGAAAGCTTTCATCTTCGGCGGTTTTAATGTAACTATTTCGCTTTGCCCCAGATGTCTTTCGACTGCATCCGCATCGGCGCCGACGGCGTGAAGGTGGTAAAGCCGGAGGACGGCTCGGGGATCGCGGTGGGCGTGCCCGTCGGGGTGTCGCCGGCCCCGGACGAGTACGACGAGATCCCTGCGGAGCACCCGCCAGAGAAGCCGCCCACCAAGCCGGCCAAGCCCGCCAAGCCTGCCAGGCCCTCTAAGCCACCCAGGCCCGCCAAACCGACCGCGATCGACACCACGGCCGCACCAGTGGCCGGCGTCGCCGCGCCCGCGGCCCCGGCCCCGGTCGTGGAGCAGGTCCCGGAAACCGCGGCCCCCGCCACCACCGACCCCGCGGCGGCCGCGGCCGTGGTGGCATAAACACGCGCCACAGTATATATTAGTAATTTATTCCCTATTTATTGACGCACAGATGATTAAAATCATAACTATAAATATTATGTAAATGTATTGCGATTATTATTCATCCTCATCTAAACGGACCAAAAGAAGATTCCAGGGCATCAAAGCGGAGCGCTGGCAACGACATTTGGCTTTTACAAAATAGTGGGGCTGCTATTCTTTTCATTTGTTCGATTGCAGTGGAAAGATACCCACTTATAAATTGGATACCAATCCACTTCCATTTTTCCAAATAACACTAACACTTCACGGTGAAAAGAATGTCTGCTATTTCGAGGAAAAGGGTAAAACGTTGAGAAACTCCCATAGTTTAGGAAAACACCTCAGATCTTGAGGATACCTGCTCAAAATCTGAAGAGTTTTCCTCCAAACTGCACTGATAAACTAAGTGTTCAACTGCCCAACACTTGTGAGTGTGCAACTGCAAGTTCAATACTTGCTAGTGTGCAACTCCGTAGTCGTACACTTACAAGTGTTGAACTCGGTAGGAGTGCACTTGCAAGTGCAACTCCTCGGTTGAACACTTCCTTAGATTGGACGCTTACGCTCGACCGAGGAGTTGCACACTTGCAAGTATTCAACCTGCAGTTGCACACTTGCAAGCATTTAACTTGCAGTTGCACACTTAGAAGTGTTGAGCAGTTGAACACTTAGTTTATCAGTGTGAAGAAGTTTTTTTCGTTTCCCTCGAAAAATCAGATATTCGCAACGTGTTAAATGTTTGTGCAACGCATGCACACAAAG